AGAAAAAGAAAAAAAAAGAAAACACAACTACAGAAAAGAGAGAACCGCATGCAACAACGTAAAATCCATGTCTACTGCGCTAAACTATACATATTGGGAGTAAAGGTTGTGACCAATAATCGTCACACAGGGAAAGGTGACTTTTTCATATGAAGATTTATATGTTAGAATGACAGAAAATATCGAAAAGAAGTTGAACATGTCTTTTCCCTTAAAAACATTTTCGTTACTTCGTTACCTTCAGGAGAGTAACGAAGTAACCAGATTAGTTACTCGTTACTGGTAGCACAGCAACTAAATTAGTTAGTTACTATTATCGGTTCCAAAATACAAGGCAGGTAGTTGCTTTTTGAATAACTATTGATAGGAAAATTCACATAGGAATACATTGATTTCTTTTCATGAGCTGATAGCCCGAGGTGTTCTCTTCAAAATGAGAGTAAAGTGCAACCTTGATTTTCTGCGGATCTAGCATTGTATCGGATTTTCGACAAGTCCCAGGACTGGCACCCGATGACCATTAGTAGCCTGAAAGGCGGATCGACTATGGATAATCGACCATGCTGAGTCTTGTGGCAACATTTGCTTTTATAAAAAGTTTTAAGAATCTACCGAAAAGCCAGTTTTACGAAAATTAGAGTTTTCAGGCTGCTTTCACCTAATATTAAAAAGTTCATTATTCGCTCTAAAAACATCGGAACGAGTTCAAAACCTCAGGATATGATCAATGTTGCCCGCTACACGTGATTATAAGATAGAAAAAATGGAAAAACACATGTTTGTTAATAGGTTTTCACAAAACCCTTTGGAAAACCTTAGATATTTTAAAATTTATTTTGAGATCTTCTATAAACAAGAAATAGAATAGCTTAAATGCTCTACATTCTGAAGTTTTGAACTCGTTCCGATGTTTTTAGAGTGAATAGTGAACTTTTCAATATTAGGTTAAAAGAGCCTGAAAACTCTAATTTTCGTAATTTCGGTAATCCGATACAACGCTCTATCCGTAGAAAACCAAGGTCTCACTTTACTCTCATTTTGAAGAGAACACCTCAGACTATCAGCTCAGGAAAAGAAGTCAATACATTCCTATGTGAATTTCGGAAAATCTAAACCAGTTTTCCAAAGATCCTCTGAAAAACCCGCTTCAAAAGTTTTCCAAAACTTGCTACAGAAATATATGGTCAAGTGTTTAGTTTTCAAAACTGAAAATCGCAGGTCTCTATCTCCTTCCTACCATTAGTTATTCAAAAAGTAACCACCTGTCTTGTATTTTGGAACCAATAATAGTTACTGGTAACGAGTAACTGCACTAGTTATTTGGTTACTTATAACGAGTAACTAATCTCGTTACTAGTAAAGTAAGGATCCTTACTGAGAACTAATCTTTTTAATATAAAAATTAAGGTACACTTTTGACACTGCAGTTTTGCGTGCGTGCGTGAGCAAATCCGTTCTATACAAAAACTGATCAAAGGCTTAAACTTTACATAGTCTCAATCCTCAATAAAATTTAAGTCTTTGATCGTTGTTTTTGCATAGAACGGGTTTACAAGACTGCTGTGTCAGAAGTGTACCTTCATTTTTATATTAAAAAATACAGTTCTCAGAGAACAATTTGTTTTTTCTTTTCAATGTCAGGATTTTTAGCGCAGAGTGTAAGGATGTTTTCCCGCCGGCAGGCTCTTTCAGCAAGCAGTACTTACCTGTCTTTTCCAATAAATCAAACAACGCGTTTTATATTTGAGTGAATACTTTATACTTCATTGTTTGTGTGACGCTGCTGGCAGGAACGGTAAACACACGCTTGGTCAATTACCCATCGAAATCACTATTAGAATAACTGGAATCGACCAAAAGAAAATCCTTTATACCCCTCGCATAAAATTCCATCATCTCGAACTTTCTCTTGTGGCCTCAAGTAGTACTAAGTCGACAGTAGTGACCGAAACGTTCCATCGATCTCGCCCATTTTCCTTAGTTTTGAATAGCTAGCCAGATAGAAATTGACGAGAGTAAAACTACCCAAACTTCTCATGAGCTAGGTAATTCCATCGAACTATCTAAGTAGATGAGGTAGATATAAAGCATGAAGTGGTATTAGTAGCGGAAGGAAAGCTTTATGTTGTACATTTGAAGAAAATATGAATGAGTCTTTTTATTCAGATGTTTTACAGAACCAATTAACTCTTTGCTTATAGAGAAAGCAAAGAAACACAAGCTCCCGCCGGCAGGCTCTTTCACCAAGCTTGGTCCATGAAACTATAGCATTCTAAAGATCATGATGTTTTTGAAAAATCAAGAATTTCTTTTAACTTTCGATCATTGGTTTTACTCCCTTTCGTTCACAACATACGGATGAAAACGGCTTGTTCAGTGTGCCTGTAACACACTAGAATTGCATACATAGTGTCTACAGACAGAACGAGGAAAAAAGACCGAAGAAAAGAATAATTCTTTCTTTTTTTTCCATTGAGAAACCCAAGATAAAATTCAGATTACACAGTGATAATTTGCACATTACTTTGGACTTGAAATGCATACTAGCGGGTACGCTTTATTTTTTACAGTGTAGGGCAACGCTGACAAGCTTTTTTGCAAACTAAGATTTAAAATTTTTAGAAAGTTCTGTCCTTTTATAAGTACTTAGACAATCCAGAGGTTTTGTTGAACTTTTACCTGGTCCAAGTCCATGGACAAACTAGGGGAAAATATTAATAATAGATGCCGACACTTTAAATATATCCTAAATTCAAACTGATTTAAGATCTTTTTTTACTCAGATATCTAAAAGTTGATCCAGTAATCATTCCATCATATTTTGTTAAAACAACCGTCTTATGGATGTGTGAAATTAAGGATTTAAGTATGATAAATGATCCCCGTCAAATAGCACATGAATGGATTAAATTTGCTTGTCAACAGCTGCGTCAGTATTCATGTGAACATTATTTTATTGAGCAGTTGAATATTTTGGCACCATATTCTCACCAGCAGTTAGATGATGCACGCCGAATATTGGAACAGGGTGTCAATTTGGATAAATTGGTACAATTCAGTATATTAAGTGAAAAACAACAAATGGTTGCAGAACATAATCAGGAAATAGAATCATTTATTCGACAATTGAAAGTAACATATTTTTTTCAAGATCTTGAAGATTATCGTTTATTAAAGAAATCTTGGGATCATACTGTTATTGATGAGAGAAACGAACTTTACCAATGTTTGTTAATTATCAACAGTTTACGTTACGTCGATGGTGAAAATAATAAACAAAACTGGCGTAAATTTCGTCAGATATTTATTGAGCAAGAAAAAACATGTACCAATGAACCGCTGTTTGGTGAGATGACAACAAGTCCTTCATGTCCACCATCTGAATTAGCTCAATTGATTATGTTTCTTGGCAGTTTTTTAAAAGTACTTAGCAGTACATTCAATGATCCTTCAGTACAGGTTGATCGACCATGCGAATATCATCCGTTCGATTTAGATGGCTTTCGAAATGTTGGAAAAGATACGTTAAATCCAATGAACTTTTTACATAATAGAACAGCGTCCAATTTACCAGAATATATGCAACCATTATTTGCTAAAGAACAAGATCTACAAACATCGACAGGTTTACAGTACGCAGAACGAAATCTATTGGATTGCCATCCGAATGGACCTCTTATGACCATGGAATCCAATCAGTACTCTGACATATTTGCATCAAATTATTTGATAACACTTTTAGACACTGCCACTGATGCTGATCAGACAATCGATGATTTGATTACTTTTCAGCAACACGGAGTTGATGAAGATGAGAGTTTGCTTTCTCAAGCTATAGAATTATCTTTAATAGATAATGAACATCATCAATCAGAGATGGGCACGTCCACTACCAAGTGAACACGACGACGTTTAACTATTAGACTTTGAGTGTATCGTGGCAAGTTTTTTCGAACTAAATTGATGTTATCAAATAAATAATGCTGTCCATGCCTAAGAATGATTACAGTGAACGTGCTAGGCACTATCTATTAGCGTTTGGCAAAGGATGCCAAACTACTGGCCAAGATCGGAGTCCGTGAGCCGTTGAAAGCACTTCACCATTCTTTCTTGTATACCTCTGTTTCACATTTTTTATCGCACCTGGAAAGAGTCTTCTTGCCAAGAAAACGTTCAGTTGAATTTTCGCTCAAGCTACTCAGCTTTATCATGATTGAGATCACTTTTCTTGCATGCTTATTAATTATGCTTAGAAGATGACGTCAGTTTAAGTTATTTGTTCTTTTCACACACTCTCTATACTATTTAGAAATTATAGAAATATTAGAGCACAAGAAAACACAATAAACTGATCAGATTTATGCTTATCGTCATCTTTTACGGTTCAATCGTTTTCTACGACAACTATATAGCTGTAACTTAATGATCGTAATGTTGCTTGGTAAGCCTCTGAATTCAGTCTCCGATAACTTTATACTTGATTATTGGTACAGGGTCTCACCCAAATAAGATTAAAACGCCTGGAGAACTCTTGTCATTTGTTCATCAAAAGTTTGATTTATCCGAGTAGCAGATTCTTTCATAACACGTTTTTCGATTTAAATAATACAACTTAGTTTTGGATCATGCATTGAATAATGAATACCATTTTGATCAATTCCACTAGTAACATTCTCAGTATTAAAGGGTAACAGTAGATATAAAAACTTTAGTACAATTGCGACTGCAACACCCTTAACTCGGCTTACCATGATTAAGAGTTTATTATCAATAAAATTTCTTATACACGAATTTTCGATCTATTTATACGATCATTGTCAAGTGTAAAAATCGTACAGAGTGACTAAATTGAAGTAAAAAACAAAACTGAGAAAAGAAAACTACATCACTCTCTATATATATTCTTCTTAGTTTTGTTTTTTACTTCAATTTAGTCACTCTGTACGATTTTTACACTTGACAATGATCGTATAAATAGATCGAAAATTCGTGTATAAGAAATTTTATTGATAATAAACTCTTAATCATGGTAAGCCGAGTTAAGGGTGTTGCAGTCGCAATTGTACTAAAGTTTTTAATTCCACTAATGCAAATTACATCATCTTTTACTGTTATTGAGCATAACATGAATTAAAAGTACAAACCCATTTTTCAGTTTCATTTTTATCTTAACGTTCTAAACGCTATCAATACCTTTTATATCATATCATCATCCATTGTATAATTAAATTTTCTAGTTCCGATTCTTTGCATTTCGTCCATGAATAATTGATCGTTTGCCAATAACTTCATGGATTTTCATTACTTTAATCTCTGTTGGTATCGCGAATCATTATTTTATACGTCACCCATACGCTTCCCATGAGGACATTTCCGACACATTTACCGCAATAAGTGCTTGTCTTATTGAGGTCGTCACGGAGACATTGCCCTTACGGCGATAATTATTTTATTTCAATAAAATAGCTCATTACCACGATAAAGATTGTTTATCGATAAATCGCGATAATAACATTATGGCAAAAAGAGGCCTTTCTTTCTGAATTAGGATCGGTTTTCTGTTTTTTTAACTTGTGGCAATGTATTTTCAGAAAATCAAATGAACGACTTTCGATCTGAAATTTTGTCAATAAATAGATCTAATGACTTTCTCAGCCTCTCAAAAAATTTAGTCAAAACTAATGCTTCCTTTTCAAGATACTGAATTTTCAAGAAATATATATTTTAATAAAAAAAGAAATATATATATTTTCTATTTTTTCCAATATATAGTGGTTTTCTTAAAATCTGTTAAGCCGTGAAGAAAGCATAAGTTTTACTAAATTTTTTGAGAGACTGAGAGAATCATTAGATCTATTTGTTGACAAAATTTCGGGATCCCCTATTCGTCGACACGTTAATTGATTTTCCTAACAATTTCCAACATTTCATTTTATGATAATTTTTATATACACGGTTGGAAATAATATTTTTCCAGGGGGGGTAGAGCTGAAACTACAAATGATATAAAAATTTATTATATACCAAATTAATGTTCATCTAAAATGGAATTGATGTGTACGACTGATATTCTGTATGACGATTCTTGACTGTAGAACTATGGAAGTTTCTATCGAGTGCGTCATAATGATTAAATTCTGAGTGTAGCAGTGCTTTGAGTAAAAGTCCTGTAACTTCAACAAAACAAACGCTTTTTCGATCGGGTTTGTTTTGATCAGAAGTGATTGCTTTTCTATTACTAATTCTGAAATCAAAACATCGATCAGGTTTTTCATTCGTACTTCGACATATTGCTGAAAATGAGGAAAAATTTTTGAAACTTAGTTCTCCAGCCCACCATCTGCTCTAAAAAACATTTTTCACAGGCCAGAGGAAACAGCATGTTCAGAAGTACAAAAAGAACTGAGTTCTCACTTTTGCTACACTCTTTTGCGTGAATAATTGCTGAAGAAAAAAGTCAAGTCGAAAAAATACCAGCTATACAAAGTTTTCATTTTTTTCGCCTTTCGTATAATTTACGTAGTTTCCTTGATTAAAGTTCAAAAATTAAAGTTTAGGTATGGTTTTGTAGAATATTTCGTGGTGCATCTTTTAAAAAAAACACTAACCGCGAGATCCTGAACGTACAGAAGAAAAATAGAAAATACTGAGAGGCTCATTCATTATGATGCACTCGATAGAAACTTCCATAGTTCTACACTCAATAGTCGTCATACGGAATCTCAGTCATGCACATCAATTCCATTTTAGATGAGCATTAATTTGGTATATAATACATTTTTATATCATCTGTAGTTTCAGCTCTACCCCCTGGAAAAATATTATTTCCAACCGTGTG